AGTGTGAATGAAGCAGAATGTGAGTGGACTGGGATGTGTTGATGGTGGTAAATTCTCTTGGTCTCAAGAAACCATAAAAAGCTACGTATATGGCGGTTTTTATAACAAGGTTTGTGTTGTTCGCAAAGGGTTTCGAATCTAGTAGGCTGGATAAATCCTTGAAGATATTGAAGTCTATAGGTAGCCTTTGCGCGGTACGTGGGGGTTCGGATCTCTGGATACCTCTAAGGATGTTTTTATCTGGTAGGAGGACATGAAACTTGTGTTGTTTGGTTGTAATGTTAGCATGTGATGTTGTATGCCTGTCAGATATAGCTTGATTGTGTTGTAAGATAATTTAAGTTTGAGGTGGCAAAAAGAAGCAAAACCTAACAAAGATGTCATGATGAAAGGTTGTGTGGCGTTGTGCAGTGACAGGAATCTTTAAATAGAAGGAAAGCCCTGTCATATGTTCTCCGGGTATTGGTGGACAGTGCTAATTGTGCCAATGTCCTGCTATGTTGCATAATAGCTTCTAGTCCATGACTAGCTGGTGGAAAGGTGGAGTGGTCGTGGCTGTACGTGCAGCTGACGGAAGTATTTGCCGAAAAGCCTGAAAATTGAAACGAGACAAATTGTCAGCAGCCGTGTTACAAACACCTGGGACATGGACACAAAACAAGAAGAAATTATGGCATGCAGCCAGCCAGGTGAGTTTCCTCAAGAACCTCATCATGGTCAGTGACTTGGATCGGCCTTTGTTTATGATGTGGCAGGTAGCTTGGTTGTCTGAGTGGCAACGTACTGACGAACCTGCCCATAGATGCCCCCATGTCACGGCAGCTGCCACAATGGGATACATCTCAAATAGAGCTGAGGTAGTGGAAAACCCTTCCAGGTCCTGTACCTCTGGAGGCCAGCTACCCCAAAGCCATTCATTCCCGTAAATTGCTGCAAAGCCTGTGGTAGACGCCGCGTCTGACCAGATGGTAGGTGAGGAGTCAGACAATTTAGGGAGAAACATGCTTTTCCCATTCCAGGTGGTCAAAAAGTTTCTCCACATAAGTAGGTCTGCCGTGGCTTGGGTATCCAGTGGTAACCTGTAT